TGCGTGGTCCTTAACTCCGAGCGACTTCGTCAAGTCGTATAATTGTGGTACTCCTAAGCAGACCACAAAACCAAGGACTACCAACACAAGCATGCGAAGTGTCTTTCCCTTCGATTTCAAAGCGGCTTGATTAATGATGCGATTACGACTTTTTCTCCACAGGAAGACGGAGATTTTAGAGTAGGCTACAGTTATCATTACCAGCGGTACGAGAAATCCTAGAATGAAATAAATTAATGCCACTATTCTTTGAGCTGAACCTGCCCCTGACGAAACACACAAGTGTAAGGCGTAGGTATAGTTTGTTCCTTTGGCAGAGAGAGTGAAGTTGACGGCGTGCGTTCCATTTCCACTGCTGTGCATCTGCGGCAACGCGCATACAATGGAATATACCCAAACCGCCAAGAGACATCGGTAGAATTTGGGTTTGTGTTTCAAACGCTGAAATGGTCTTGTGATGCTCTGATGCCTGTCGAAGGCGATAACAACCAAGCTTGTAAAAACTGCACTGTTGAACGTGTAGAGAAAGGTTTTGGCGACTTTACAGAACATCGTCGGCTTGGTTTCAAACGGGTAAAATATGGAAGCCCCCTGGCCGGGTACAATAATCAGGCGATAAGCAATGTCTGTAATCGAAAGATGAAAGAGCATGAAGTTTGAGAGGTGTTTCTTAAAGCGTCCGCCTCGAAGCATCACGACGCAAACAGTTATGTTAGCGATAAGTCCAATGATGACGAGACAGAGAAGAAGGACGCAACCGAAAAAGAAAAGAGTCAGTGGTGACAACCACGAACTTGTCCATTGAATGGGAGAAGAAATAATGGCAGAAATGTTCATGATCCCGTAAAAGACGAAAGACCACTTCGTTTTGATCAGTTTTTGTTCTAAAGAATGTCATTTCCTTTACGTCGAGCGTTCAATCGTGTTAGATCGCAACTGATAAACTGTCACCAGTAGCAACCAAGTACTGACGCAAATACTTAGATGATCTTCTTTAGAAATTGATCGATCCCGCTTTCATATTTCCAGCCAGAGACTAATGGACTTGTCAACACCAGTGGAATCTAATTTTAATTCATTTCCATTAGAGTTCATCCGGTCATTTTGGGCCGAGAAAAACTTCAAATTTTACTTCACTACGAATTTTACCTTTATTATAAGAAAACGTTCGTAAGCCGAAACAAAATACTGTGTCCATGTATTTGTCGTTTAGATTTTTTCCTTTTATATGCAGAACTGTTTATTTTGGGTTTTTGATTGAACCGATTTGAGCGTATTTAGCCAAATTAAAAAGGATTTGGGTGAAAAAGACGGCGTTTTTCCAAAGCTGACAGCTGTCATGGTCAAATACATTTAAGCTATGGACAGCTTTGTCGGTCTCCAGAGATGTGCCGTAACAAGGGACTACAATGGGCCAGATCCAAGTTACCTTGTGCCTGTTTCAAAACGAGTGCCCGTCTAAATACGAAGAGGAGTTTGATTTACATGAAAGTGAACTTGTGGGCGAAACACATAATCATATGAAGACTCGTGTTGACTCAGAATTAAAAGGCAACTAGGAATTGGCCTATTGTAGCTAACAATTTGGGCAGCTCAAGCTTGTTCTCACAAAAATGAAAACCATGGGGTTTAAGATGACTGATAACAGTTTCCAGGTTTTTTTGTTAGCACTTCTACTTTTATGGAGCTTCAATAATGGCATCAAACAAACACCCAACCATTCGTCAACAGGTTTATGAAACTTTCAAGTTACCCTGGCAACAGCATGACCCGTTAAAACCACCCTTAATATTAGCTTTAAGTGTTTGTAGCTCAAAACCCTATTACCATTATGACAAGGTTAACTTTTTACAAAGCTTTTATCTCGGAGCCGTTTCAGAGAAACCTTAAATTTGCAAAAATTTGCGTGGCTCTGTTTAAAAGGCTTCAAAGGTTAAGCGTTTAATGGAGGAATGGGTACCTATTGGAGAAGAAACGATCAACCGCACAAGGATCACTTAGTAGCAAAGAAGCTCTTTGAATCCAAGTACATCTATTGAGATTCCATACAAGTTGATCCTAAGTTCACGAGTTGAAACGAGAAAACACAGTAATGGCTTTTGCCGGAGTGGTTTAGGGAGTAACCTTTATTTCTTTCGGTTGATACATATACACCTTTAGTGCAAAGCCTGACAATTCATCTTGGTATAAAAAGTACAATAATGTTAAAA